GAGCACAAACAGTGTTGAAAAGCTGCAGCTAGGAGAGCAACACAAAAGGTGCTGTTCTGAAAGCAGAAAGTATTTCGCCACATAAACCTGAACTCTTTGCAGAAGCACATAAGATATATTTACTGTCAGGTCCAGACCACCTGTTGGAGTTACACCGTAACTGTGTCACGTGAGTAAATGTGCACATTGCCAGTCATTTTGTTATTATCTATACCATGTAAAAGGTAAATGGACTGATTTTTATATTGGATTTTTCTTCTCTATATGAGCACTCAAAGATTTACACAACTTGCCTCATTCATCCATTGCACAAGCACTAGAGCAGACAGGAACACCAACATTATGACCTGCTAGGACCTGTTAGGTTTTAATCAGGTGACTCTGAATGCTCCCTTTCTTACACTACAACAGGTCTGGGCTTCTAGATTTTTCTTCTTCAGTCCCCTTTTCCTCTCATGTATCTGAACTGCTGCACTGTTTTCAGAGAGAAGCACGAGTCAAACCTACACTGGAATATTTTTGTTAGGATATCAATCACTCCCTTAACAATCTGAGTCCCTCACTGCGTTGTGCTAATTATTGAAATGAACGACTGCATCTTCGTATATGAATGAGCATGCATCAGGCGTCCGTTTTCGTGGGCTATCAGTTCCAAAACTGCCCCTGAGCCTCTTTGGTAAACCCAACAGCAGCTTTTTGACACCAGGAGAAGGTTTAATGACGTAGACGTTAATAATCTGGTCCACTCAGTTTATCTTTATTGACTTTCTTGCATGAAATACTCTCAATGTGACAAATGAATTTTAATAGATTTAAATAATTAATAGCAAATATTGGAAATGTGGAGATGTTGGCTGTTTCTCAAAAGCCACCGATGCAGCACACCTGCAGAAAAGCAATATCACCTTGAAGATGTTATAATGTTTTGTTTTTATTTGTTTTACTTTTGTTTCTCTCGTTGGAGATAACTGTGATCATTACAGAGCTTGTAAAAAAGGCTCTGATTAACCTTACAGTTATCATCATTCGAGTTATTGCAGAGAAAGTCGATCAATATACGTTCTAACAAACTGCGCAAACGTGCAGGTTAATGATAGCAGCTGTGCAGTGAGATGAGCTATACGACCAATTTAAAATGAGTGATGGCGCAGGAGGTTAGATGCATGTTTGAGTGCAGCTATAAAGCATCCGAATGAGCCGCAAGTGCGTGCTCAGGCCAGTGTAAAACTGCAAGATAAGTTTGAACTGTAATACAAACACGGCTGCTTAAAACAGGAAAATCGCTGGAATATCTGCACGAACAGAACCATGCAGACAGAAGGAAAGAGTCCACATAGCGGCCTAAGAGTAAAAGACGCTGATAATGTGAGTGTTCAGGGTCATGTCTGCTGTCTGAGTTAGGATAAAAGTGCTCTAAAAACCTAAAAAC